ACACAGTGAAACACAGGGATCTAATTTCAGTCTTCTACATGTGGATATCCAGTTTTCCCAGAAACATTTGTTGAAGAGGCTTGTCTTTTTTCCATCGTGTGTTTTGGGCTCCTTTGTCAAAGATCATTTGGCTGTAGATGTGTAGGTTTATGTCTGGATCTTCTATTCTGATTCATTGGTCTTCCTGTCTGTTTTTGTGCCAATCACATGCTATTTTATTGTTATGGCTCTGCAGCATAATTTGAAGTTGGGTATTGTGATGCCTCCAGCATTGGACGTTTTGCTCAGAACTGCTTTGGCTATTCAAGGTCTTTTGTATTTCCATATGTATTTCACAACTGATTTTTCTATTTCTGTGGAGAATGTCATTGGAATTTTGATTCTGATCAAAATGTAAATTGCCTTTATTAGTATGGCCATTTTCACAATGTTTAGTAGAAATGCAGAATATTAATGGACTCTACACAATAAAGCCAGCATACTATTTCAAAATAAAATTCTGGTTTGGTACACATATGCCCTATATATTAAAGTGGAACAGAATCTTTGAATTTAAGAATGACTTCCGAATACCTTTCTTCCCCAGGGAAGAAATAATGTTACACTAAATTATGCAATTTCTAATATATTGAGAGAATTTAAGCCATAGAATAATCTCTTTAAGATGCTCCTTATAGTTAGTATTTATTCTAGTATGAATTCCATGGAGTAAAAACCACAAAACTAGACAAAACTCTGTTGTATTTCTGTCAGTAATCATTCTAACACTAAGCATGAAGAAGGGGAGTGGGACCTTCACACAATTTTATCACACAAAATTTTTTTTTTTTTCTTTTTTTTTTTTTTTTTTTTTTTGATGTTCGGAGATGCCAGAAAAGATGGGCTGAAGCCTTTATTCCCCTACAGTTGAGAAACAGGAGAAAGTGCTGACATGCTTCCCTCCAAATTGAACAGATTGGGGTTTTGTTTTGTATTGTTTCACTGAAACTTAAGAGTGAAACAGCAAAGTCGGTCAAAGCTGCTTCCTACTCCATTTGCTCCTCCTTTCCCTAGCAGAATTTTGAAAAGATTGTGCACCACGAATAATTTAACATCTAAATTTTCTTGCCATAATTTTAAATAGTTGCAAAAGGTTGTAGTTTTCTGCATTTCCAATAATGGCATTTTAAAGTAAAACTTTCTATTTTTTTTTTTTTTTTTTTTTTTTCTTTTATTATTCATATGTGCATACAAGGCTTGGTTCATTTCTCCCCCCTGCCCCCACCCCCTCCCTTATTATGTGCTCAATGCTTTGCTGTTTCCTACAAATAAATTTATTGTGTTTGAACCTTTAAGGAGTTTATGGTCTACAATAAACATTACTTATATAAAGAACACATAGAAAATATGAAAATATTTTGATTCAAGAAGTGAATGATTTAAGTAAAGTTCTAGGATGGGAAAAGTACTTGCTGGCCAAAAGCCCTCATTCTCCAGTTGGATAAACCTAAATCTAAATGTTGGCTCCTTTACTAACCAGTGTTTGACCTTGGACATGTTATTTAATCTCTCTGTGCCTCAATTACCTAAACTGTAAAAGTAGGTTAATAATGCTAAACTCATATGGATGTGTGGATAAAGCAAGATCAAGTACAGAAAGTGTTGATCACCATATCTGGCTTATATTAATCCTCAAAAATTTTAGCTACTATTATCACTACATTATTGAAGTTCTGTAAGAAAGAATTCCTGTTTAACATACATGAATGGGTGGGGGCAGGGAGGAAGGGAGGAAGAAGAGAGGGAGGAGGGAGCGGGGGAGAGAGAGAAAAAGAGAGGGAGAGAGGGAGAGAGAGAACATGCATGAAATGTATCAATACTTAGGGCTTATTATAATGAGTAAAAGGGCCTCCTGGGAAGGAAGGAACACAGAAACCCTCAATGTCTTCTTCCAGATGTTGTAAATTCCTAAAACCTGTCAGGGAAGCTGTAATAAAATCCCTTCTTTGCCCTCCTCTCAAAAAGTACAGTAAAAGCCCATCCAAAGATACATTTACTGTTCCAAGTGTATAGTCATCCTAAGGACAGGTAGCACTGAAGAAGTAAATGAACTGAATTGAATGAGTTGGAATTATGGGAACCAGGCAATCCGTGAAGTACAATTCTTCATTTATCATAACTGGGTAATTTAGCTTTTTTTTTTTTTTAAGAATGTGTTTGTATATAAGGGGAATGACACATATTACCATCTTTCTTCCTGTAAGTAACTTACCAAGGTCACACATCAGTACATAAGTAGTGTCAGGATTCAAATTCATAACACTAACCAATATATTGCCTTTTGTGGTAATCCAAGAGCAGGAAGATAAGTTCATATTTAGCTTGCATACATATGATAGAACTGAGATGATACACAAATCTGTAAGAGTTGAGCCTATGAGAACTGTTTTCAAATAATCAGAGCTTACCAATAATAACTGTTGAAGAGAGTAAACACAAAATCAAATCCTAAGATGTCCTAACTAAAAGATAGTGTGGCCTCAGGCAAGTTACTTAATTTTAATATAAACTTGTTTCCTCTTCTGTAAAAACAATACTTTGATTACTTCTCAGGGTACCTGAGAGAAAATAAAATACATAAAGTACTTAGTACAATAATTACTACTTGGTGATCCTCATACAGTAGTATATCCATGGTACTGGGATGTAGGTCAGTAGTTGGGCAATTCCCTAGCAATCACGAAGGCCCTGGGTTTGAATTCCCAGTCCCTCAAAAAGAAATGGTAGCAGATTGTATCATACCATATCATCACTGCCTCAACAATTTCATATTAATTTTGAAGATCAAGACAACTATGCATATTAAAATAGTAAAATTACTAAATTTCAGTTCTATTGAAAAATGAATCAGTAAACATTTCACTATCTCCTATCTTTGGCCTTTGAGGGAAAAGAAATAAAAATTTTGATAAATGATGTTTGGTGATATTCACTGATTTGCTGCTTACTTGTCATGTTTTACATATATTACTTTTGTATATTACTTAACTACTACCAATGACAATAATTAACAATGATTTATGTTTCTTTTCCTATGAATAAACTATCTTTAGAAATGAGAAGGGAACAGTTGTACAATGTACAGCCCTACAGTTGAATCTTTTTTCCAAGAAATTACAATCAGTGGAAATCTGTTGTCTCAGCTTAAGTCCCATTGCTTTGAAAGAGAACCAAAGATTCTATTCCTTTGCCATTCAACAATGCAAAGAAATCAATAAGTTGAAAGAAATATATACTTCATGCGTCCTTCACTCAAAAGAGGAAATAAAAATGGGAACCTTGCACAAGAATTCTGGTTGTTACTTTACTAAGGAAGGTAAGCAAAGTAAAATTTGCTTAGTTCAAACAGTAAAAACTAGCCCTAAACCTAAATCACCTGATTAAGCCTTTTAAGGGTCACCTCAGTTAAATACAGAAATTAATTCTACTTAATAACATCTTTAATCACTAATGAGAGCGCTGGCTATGATTAAATGCATGAAAATAGTCCACTCTCTTTATGTGTACATTTAATTACTCTAGCTGAATGCAGAACTCCTCTTCCAGAAATAACATGGTATAATTTAATTGAATTTAGTTGTGACTTCAAAGTCCTTGCTTTTCTCACATATCAGTCACTTTGGTAAGTAACTTTACGTATATTACGTCATTTATTCCATACTTAACATTGAACATAAGTGCCACCGTCAACAGCTAAGAAAACATACTAAGAGGTTAGTTACAATGCCCAAGGTCTTAAGTGGCAGAGACTAATGTGAATCCAGGTTATCATGGCTCTAAGTATTGAAATTCTGGGACACTGGCTCCTCTTTCTTTTAAATAATATAAAAATAGCTTTCATTTTCTCCATATTTAGATTCTTTTCTGTCTTTTAAGACTTAAAAAATGGTAACTAAAACTTTAAAAAATGTCTTAAGCCAATATAGTTCTAAAGCTAAAACATAGAGAAAACAAAATTTATCATAGTTTTCTTTAGGTTGGAGAAAACTTGTTATCAATAAAACAAGAAAGAAAAGCTTTTTTTTTTTCAAGGATTAATATTAAGAAGAAAGTTCTTATGGCATGCTAGATCCGACTGGTTTTTCTTGTTTTGTGGTGTGGATGGGCTTTGTGGCTCTTAAAAATAACTAAAACAAAGCTGTCTGACACAATTTGAGCTTGCTATAGCAAGGAAGCCTAACCTATTCCGGTGTTCTCTCCTCTATGAGACAAGCCGTTATATAGGCTTAAACAGTGTTAAAAAAAAAAATAACTAAAACAGGTGCTTCGACTACAAGTCTGTGAAACACATATGAATAAGTATAGACATGTATATGAATGGGCACAAAGTTCTCATAAGTCACTCAAGAATGGTTGGATGATTTTAGAACGTTACCTATCTTCTATCATATCACTGAATAAGATAATATGGTGGGCTTATTAGTATCATGGTTTGTTTTTTTTAAAGTCTACTTACCTGATATTAACAGCAGAAGTAAAAGATTAGATTTAAATTATAAGAAAGTAGCCTATATGTTTATATCAGAAAGATTTTCTGTAAGTTTATCATTAGATAGCTTCATATTTATAAAGATTAAGTGATTTTTCAAATGCTTGTACTAATAGTTACAGATGACTACAAAATAGTTACAGATGACCACTGAAGCTTTTAAACATTAATTTTATAATCCTTTTACCAAGGTCAATAAATACATTTTAAATGTATTTTTATTGTAAAGCAAAGTATGTTTTATAAAAAAGGGTGTATTTACTTCAATTAACAATGAAAAATACTTATTATAATAAATACCTTAATGAAACTCAAATGTTAGAAATAAAAATATTTCATAAATTTGTATCTGTACTATTTTACTCTTTACCATTAAATAATGTTCAACTTTTTAGTAATATACTTTACATTCAAGAATGCTTTAAAGGAATTATTGTGAGGATAACCTAGTCCTCCAACAGGTAAATCTTACCTTGTGCTGTTCAATGGCATCTATCCACTGCTGTCTATGATCTGGATCCTGAGCACGAAGATACCAAACACTATCATTTACACTAATATCAAATCGACATTCATCAAAGTCATGGGGCTGTGGGAGGAAAAAAGTAGAAAATGAAAAGCAAGGTTAATTATATTCTTAGAAGTGTTGTACCCTTCAGCAAAAACGTGAGAATATTCGTTCTGTGCTGCTTGGAGACTTGTTATTTTAAAATTTTTCTACTTAAATTACTTCTTCAAAGATATCTTAGACAACAGAACACATGTCAAGATACTAAATCCAAGTTTCATTCACTACTCCTAAAAATGAGTTGACACATAAACTATGAGCATCTATTTCAAAAGCACTGAGCTAATATTTTTCATTGAATGATTTAAGTTAGTTTAGCTAGTGGGAAAACCTCCAAAGGGATAATTTTTAATGCCAAAATAAATTTTAAGAAAGATATTTACTATCATTTTTTACTTAATCCATTATTTAGAAGTAAGCTCTCATTATGAAGCTATATTTTTATTAAATTTAATGAAATTCAGCAAAATAACCATAGTACTAACATTCTCCCCAAATCCGCAATTAGCTTCTAGGTTTTTATGTCTTTTGACAGCAACAGCCAGGAAAACGTCCAATTTTCATTGGATGTAAAATGAACATTACAAGAGCTGTGTGAGAAAGCTAAAGGAAACCTTCTGCATCAAAGTAGAAGCACCAAATACAAATGCCAACCTGATTCAGTGCTTTAGATTCTTTGTAAAGCACATAAAGTTATTGTTTTATATCCTTGTTTTTCTACCAACATGAACTCAAATATGACAGGATGTATCACATTTGCCATTCCTCCTACCAGATAGGATAGGGTCAATTTTTTTTTCTGTGATCAGTCTTCCCTTAGATGGAAGTGGATCCATTCTGGTCAGTGTAACAATAAACTTACTAACTGAATAGAATCTACATATTGCATTTGTAGGGTTTAGTGTTTATTTTCTCCCTCCTTTAACAACATCAATCTTTGATCTTCTTATCAATTTATTTAACAAAAACAATATAATGTTTTATAGTTCTATGTTCTTTAGTCTATGAAACAATTTCTCTTTTAAGATTAAGATAACAAATCAGGTTCTGACCAGTGAAATGATACAAATAAATTAAACATTTCCTGAATCACTATGTGCTAGGCATCACAGTTAGTACTATAGTGGGAAGGAAAGTATGCTACAAAGAAGCAAACAGGGAAAAAACCAAGACAATAAATACCTCATACCAGTAAGAACGAATACAGGAAAATATAAAAGACAACACTGAACATACATAAAGAAAATAATAAACTGAGCATGGTGATGCATGTCTGTAATACCAGCAGTAGAGAGGCTGAGGCAGGAGGATTGAGAATTCAAGGCCAGTCTGGACTATCTACAAAGTACCAAGGCAGCCTGAGCTACGGAACAGATAGCTACATAAGCAAACAGGCTAAAAGTCATGGACATATAATCAGATTTGAGAAAATACACAAAGTGAAAGACATACAATATACTCATGTGCAACATAAGGATGTCTTGTTTCATGAGTGACTGAATATATAGTGGTTCCATAAGATTTTAATGAGAACTGTAAAATTCCTACAACCAGTGATGCTGTAGTTAGCTGTCTAGTGCAATGCATTACTTATGTTTGTGGTGATACTGGTATTAACAAACCTATGGTGCTACTAGGGTTGCACAAAAATACAGTATATACAATTATGTACAGTACATACAAAATACTTGACAATGATGAGTGGCTATGTTACTGATTTATGTATTTACTTTACTATACTTAACATTACTTTGGTGTATTCCATCTGCTTCTTAAAAAAAAAAGTTTACCATAAAGCATTATGCCATATTAAACAGGTAGCAACCTCAAACATCTTACTTACTAAGTCTTTTGACTGCACCAGAGACTATATTGAGAGACTGACCTATACCACCTAGGTTTATGTAAGCAGTCTCTGGAATGTTAACACAAGGACATTAAGTAATACATGACTTTAAGGAATAGGCAAAGGAGGAAAAGCAAGTATTTTAATTAGTTCTTGAAAACAAGAATGTAATAAATTTAACAGATACTGTGCTCAGGGAAAGGACACCAAAAGATCAACGCAAAGATATTCTGTAAAGGTAATAAGTTTTAAGAATAAAGGAAATGCTAGAGATGTTTCACAAGTTTTTTTTTTTTTTTCATTATTATTGCCTCTCCTCTCACTTAAAGTAATTAAATACTAAGGAATCCAAGGAGTAAGATACTGTCAGGCAGATTTTTTTGTGTGTGCATTACTGAGGATTGAACACTGGGTTTCAAGCATGGAATGGAAGCATTCTACATTACACCATGATTCAGCCCTTTTGTTTTTGAGGTAGGGTGTCACTCACTTTGCCACGGCTGTCCTAGGACTAAGATCCTTCTACCTTAGCCTACCAAGTAGCTGTGATTACAGCTGTGTCTCACCACACCCAGCTCATCTGGCAGATTCTTCTGAAGTCACAAGCCACTGCAATATCTTAGATTTCACTCCCCTAAGAACAAACTATCACTACCAGTAAGAATGCATGCTACAGAAGAAACTCATCTACCATAGGTGGGCCTCTCATTTTATCATGGTAGTATTCATTGCTATAGAGAAAAACTTTTACTCTAAAAGGTGAAATGAATATATGGCATTATAATATCCACTATCTATCAAATAACCTTATAAAGATAAAGAGGCATAAATGCACAAATAAAAATACAGAAGAAAGTAGTAACTGAGTGGGTCCAACAAAGCTGAAAATTAAACATCTGCAAGGGGAAAGAAGTCAAAAGATAAAGCCAATTTGTATGCAGTGCTAGAGAAGCAAAGGAATTAAAGCTGTCAAGTGGCCCTAAATGTAAAGATATGAGTAGAACTAAAAATAAGACCACTGATTGAGCCATTAAAAGATGCAACTAGGGCCAGGAGCTGGTGGCTCACGCCTGTAATCCTAACTACTCAGGAGAGATCAGGAGGATAGCAGTTCAAAGCCAGCCTGGGCAAATAATCTTGAGAGACCCTATCTTGAAAATACCCATCACAAAAAAGGGCTGGTGGAGTGACTCAAGAAGGCCCTGAGTTCAAGCCCCAGTACTCCCCGCCCCCCGCCACACACACAATGCAAATAGGCCCCTGGAACCCAACATGCCTATCTCAAGCACTGGTGACTATAAACCTACCTCTGTGCTACCTGCCTACTACCTACCACATTAGAGACTCCATTCCCACCTCTCTGGGAGATTAAATCAGATAATCCTATACAGTAGTGGAGTGGTTTTGAAAGGTGCAGACAAGTAGATAAGGAAAAGTCTTCATATTAAAGATCTTTTTTCTTTTCTTGCTTCCCAGAAGGACTAGGACCCATACTTACTCCTTTCTATATATGCTCTTCTCTCTGCAAGGAATATTTTTCTAAGGAAAACTAAGTTATAAAAAAAAAATGCGGGGACATGTAGTAGTGATATTTGCAAGTTTCATACTCAGGTAGTTTATTAGTATGAAAGTTCTAATCTGTGAAGAATGTGCCTTTCAGAAGAACTAAGAGGTATGAGGCAACTAAGATCTAGGAAATGAAGAATGAAATACAGGAAAGATAAAAAGGAACTTCTCAGGAAGACAATAAGGAGTATCAACAGTTATCTAAAATCTACTTTGAACAATACAACAAGAGGCTTTACAAGGGATTTTTCTAGTAGGGAAAAAAACTGAAAGGAAAGATTATCCATTGAATTATCTGCTGAAATTGCTCAGTGTTCATTCATTACAAGCACATTTTTTACCTCACTAAACACAGTTATAATAATTGCTTTAAAAATCATTGATAATTTTTAATTATCAATGATAACTGATAATGAATCATTGTGATTCATTCTGAGTGTGGCATTAGTTCATTCTTTTGCCTTTGAGACAATAGTAATTTCCTGGTTTATTCTTAAATTGACTGATTTGAAGCTGATTCTGAGCAATGGAAATGTAAGCTGTGAACTCTGGATTTTGTTATACTGCTCTAAAAAGTTGTTTTTGTTTTAGCTGGCAATTAATTTTCTTAGACTTAAACTGTCAACTCTGTCACATGTTTAACAGACATGTGACAGACTCAGTTCAGACTGTTTTCAATCTGGTTTGTACACATAACTGCCCTTAAGTTAGATAAAGACTTGGGCAGAGTTTTAAGCTCAGAGTTTTGCGGCTGCCTTTCTCTGGCTCTCTTTTTGGTGTTTCCACCTCATTTTTCAACAGCCATACTTGTACCAGGTAACTTTCCGAGGTACTGTCAGAAAGATGGCCGGCTGGTTTTGCTGTTGGAGATTTGACCCTAATTATAACCAATTTTCAAATACCCTGGCAAACACTTGAAGGTCAAACACTTGTAATTAAATTTGGCTTCTCTTTTCCACTCAAGCATAAAGTATTAAAATTTCTATGCTCAACAACAGTTAAATAAATCCTATTAGATTTAAAGAATATCAATCAGTGTTCAAAATTATAAACAGAAATGGACTTTTGCTCACTTACAAAGAAGAATTTAGTTAGAAGGTATCAAACAGCTTGCATAGTTAAGAAATGTGGAAAGGAGCCACAGAAGATTACACAACAAAACCCCTGTTGAGACTGCACCACAGGTAGGTACCATTTGTACAGGCAGGGCTATTTCCACTTCTGAATCTTGTGAGCATTGCTGCTAACTTGATCCAAAGAAAAACTTCCCATCTCTCCTCCTATCATCCCTTTCCAGAATCAAAGTAAAGATGGAAAGAGAAACAAGGGACAGTGGGAGTGGAAGTGGACACAACAGTATAAGAGCAATCTAAATGGCTAAATCATATACCCATATACTACGAGAGAGATGACCACAAAGGAATGGTAGGATGGGAGAGGAAATTAATTATCTGACTTTTATAGATTAATGTGAGAGACCTTTTACTCAAAGTTGGGAATTCCTCAAAAGCAAGGGGATTTTGATGATGAGTTTGCCACTTACTAAACTATTACCTCTCTTTTCTGTTTTGTACTACTGGGATCAAGATGCTGCAAACTGCCTTTCTCC